AAAAAAAAAAAGAAAAAAATAAAAGAAATCAACAAGTGAATCAAATAACTGGAAATCATCATAAGGAACACTCTAAATTGGATTCCTAAAAGTGCGGTCTGTGCTGCAGGGCAGCAGCGTGGACCTCACCTGGGTTCTGTTAGAAATGCAGAATCTCAGGCACCAAACCACATCTGCCACCTCTGATTCTCCCTTTAAACTTTGTACGAACCATAAAGTATGGAGAGCACTGATTTAAGGTAAATACGGAGGCACCTATCAGCTAGAATGACTGAGAAGATTACTTTTAAACTGAGACCTGAACAATGAAAAGACAGCACCATGAAGAGAAGGGAAAAGAGGTCAGGAAGACAGAACAGCATGTGCAAAGGCCCTAAAGCAGGTCAGACCTTGACTTTTTGGAGGAACTCATTGGCAGTCAGTAGGTTTGGAAGGAAGCAAGCAAGGAGGCAGGTTCTAAGGAGACTGAAGAGTTCAGTCCATGCAGACCTTAAGGATTTAGGTCTTTATCTCAAGGGTGCTGCGGAGCCACTGAATGGGTTTCCATAGTAATTTACCATCACCACCCACCCTTGAAGTTCCCAGGGCATCAAAAGGTATCAGCAGATGTGGGTGGGGGATAACTGCACACTAAGCTGTTAACAAATTTTAATGGAATTAGTTCCCTAATTTCTTGAGAGGCATGTGTACATTCTAATAGGACTTCCAATGCCTCAAGATAAAGAAGGGACTCAGATGGTGGAATTCTCAGGCTTCTTGGTGTTTTCATACCAGACTGGCCATCCCCAGGCTGACCTGGGCATGTATATATGGGAGTAAGGTCAGGAGTGGGATGACCTGGACAAATTCATATGTCCTGCTTCCATTCTCTGCATCCTGTGAATGTCCTTCAAGAAAGGCTCTGGCAGGCCAGTCCAAAACTAACTCTAGAGCAACTGTCCACGTTCCTCTTGCCAATTATGGGGTTTACCTTCCACCTCTCAGTTATGGGGGGCATGGAAGAGGCAATCTGTGGGTGGGTAAGAAGAAGCGTGTATGGAGACTGAGCATGTGCCTCTCCCCGCGAGAATGTCACAGAACTTCTGATAAACTGGATTTTGGGGTGTGAGGGAGTGTCTCTTAATCTAGAATCTATATGAAACTCCATATTTTGTGTCTTAATCCTTTCCTGGAAGCCAGCCCATAGCTGCCACCATTCTCAAAGAGGCCTATGAACCAAAAAAAGTTTAAGGACAAATGACTTTTTATAAGATATTAAGGAGTAGAAAAGAAAGAAAAATATAGACAGCTGCATTTTCCTGTTCTCCCCAAATTTCTTTGGGTCAAGAATGGGAAGAAAGGACTTAAAATCAGCAGGCATGCTGAACCAGGAAACTGAAAAGAGGTCTTTTTCTTGAGAGAACCTCCCCCCTCCAAATATGATGGTCCAGGCATTATGAATATTTGAATGGTTGGCAACATACTGGGGCCACCAGTTCAATCTTTCAGGTTCTTGGGGTTGTGAGGGAGGTGGTTCTTTCAGACCAGCTCTCAGACTGCCCTGTCTTTGCCCCACAGTTTGTGCGAGAACACATCATCCATATGACTCAAGAGGATTATATCAGCTGGCTGCAGAAGCGGATCAATATCCCCATCTGGCCCCACAACACCCAGAGGTAGGCTGGGCCTGGGTTGACCAGCAGTCCCGGCAGGGTAGGGCCAGACTGCACTGTAGGCCTGCTTCCTTCCTGTTCTCAGGGATATGCACTGTCGTATAGGAGGGTCATCTGGAGACTGGCTTCTGGCAACATTCTAGAGAGAAAGACTCCCAGGTGGAATCTCCCCTCAACCTCGCACCCTTGCCTCAACTTCCTAGTCTCTGTTCCATATTGGTCCAGCCTGACTCTACCCACTCCCTCTCCAGATCCCTTCATTCGATCCCTCTGCTTCAAATTCTGGATAATAAAATTGAGGTGAATGTTGGCTGTCTGGTTGGGAAAGAGTTGGAGCTGTGGAATTTGGGTGTGGTCTTCAGATCCTAACAAAAACAGTTGCCGTTTATTGAGCTTTTGTTATGTAGCAGGCCCAGTGCTGGGTGAGATTATTGCCTAATAATATCATCTGAATCTCACAATAACTGATATCATTCTTTTTCATACCATTGGAACATGAGGGTATGTCTCAATGTTATATATATGGCCATGGATGGATGGTTGGGTGGGTGGGTCGATGGATGGATGGAGTATTATAGCAAATGGTGTGCAAGAAAATTTCATCCTTAAGAGTCCTCATAAACTTTCCAGTAATTTTGGTTGCACACGGACACTTAACTTCCCGTCATCCCATGTGTATGGACACACTGCCATTTGACCTCTTCTCACCTTGGTCACCTACATTCTCACCAAGTTATAGAACCTGTAGTCATTTTAACTCTCTCACCGATGGCCAGGTTGAATTAACAATTAAACAACCAGAGCCCATTAGCAGTTAGGCCCAGATTGTCAGAACACTCACGTAGGCTGGGCCCCAGCATCTCTTCATGATAATCCAGAAGAGAACAAGGAGGATCGGATCGTAACTATTCTTCCGTGTAAGCAATGTAGCACTCATCCATTCCTATTCAATCATCTACTCATTTATTCAATGAATGTTTATTGAGAGCCCAACACGCATGTGCCAAGTTCTGAGTTCTGAAGATACAGAATTGACGAAAGCAGACAAGGTCCCTGCTCTCATGGAGTTTCTGGGGAGACAGGCAAGTCAACCAAAGGGCATGGGGAGGGCAAAGGGATGACATACCAGCCCGCACCTTTCCACGTCAATGCCCTTTGTTTAACATGCTACCCTGACAAGCCATTGAGGCATAAGGGTGAGATACGGTCTATAAGGAGACTCCAAAATTAAGAGACCCAGACCTCTCTATTAAATAGGAATTAAGGTAAGGGAGGGGGGGGCAGAGAAGAAAGGAGGAGTGCCCAAAAAACAAACAAAGAAGAAGAAGGAAAAGGGGGCCGAATAACATGGGTGAGAAGGGATCTTGAGAGAAAACCAAAGAGGGTAAAGTTCCCGAGGTGGGGCTGCCTAAAGGACCTCTAAGAACTAGTAGGCAGACCATCGCCTTCACTGCATCACCTTGGAAGCATTGGTCATTTCTGGCACACACCCAGGTGTCCTTTGGGAGTGATGTTTTGAGGAAACAAAGAAAAAAGGATAAGTCCTACATCTGGGTCTGCTGGGGGGCAAACAAAGGACTTTAGAGACTCGAAACTGAGTACAGTCATTTAGTAGGAGCAGAAAGTCAGAGAGAGAGTACTGTTACACGAACCCTGTAGACGTACAGAAATCTTAAATGCACATTTGGCTTCCCTCTAGACACAGGATGGGGACTCTGTCAAATTGATATATGTCACATATATATATATACCTCAAATGTCAGGTGACCATCACAGCTGACATTTAATTACACAAGAGAATCAGTGCAATGGTGCCAATTTAAGTAAGTACAAGAACTTCCCAGGGGACAAAGGGCTGGCAGTGGGAGGAAGTGGGCACCAACTCATACCTGAGATGTTAGGAAAGACTTTCTAGAGAGAATGACACCTGTAAGCTGAGTAGGACTGTGTGGAAGAAGAGCAAATGGACGAGGGAGGAGGGAAGAATGTTCCAGGGAGAGAGAAGAGTATGTGCCAAAGTCCAGAGACAAAAGGAGATGATGTCATTTAAGGAACTACATAACTAGTTGAGTCTGCTGATCTAAAAGATCAGGTTGGCAATGCAGGCAGGGAAATAGAGGAGGGAGGCTGTGGAAAGAGGTAGAAGACAAATTTTTAGATGCCTTCTAGGCCATGTTGAGGTTGAGACCAACTTACCGGCAATAGGGAGCCATGCAAGGATTCTGAACAGAGGAATAATCAGATTTACACTCAGAAAAGAAAAAATTATTACTTCATGAGTGCAAGGCAGGGAGCAGGGAGTTGAGATAAGGCCATCACTGTGATTGTGGGGAGAGCGACGGCAGCGGGGATTCAAAGCATCTTTAAAAGGCAGAATCAAAGGAACTTGGTGCGATGGGTTACAGGAGGGCAGAAAGCAAGGGTGTCAGGAAATGTATCTGGTTTTCCAGCTTGGACCTCTGGGTGGAAGATGATGCCTTCAATGTAGCAGGAGGAAATAAAGAAAAGAAAGTTCTGAATGTCATGTCTCAAGCATACTGAGCAGAGAATGCCTGTGGGACAGTCGAGTGGGTGGGTCGGCTGAGCTGGAGGTGCAAACGCAACATCAGTATCTTATGGGCCATGATGGTTAAAGTCAGAAGTGGAGGAGAGGCTAGAAGAGGGAGGGTCTCGAGGAGCAGATCACAGGAGCAGCTAAGCAGCTTCACGGTCTTGCACTGACTGGAGGACGACTTGGTTCTGGACCCTGTGAAAAATGCCTGACACATATTATTTCATTCTGGCTTCATAATCCTGCAAGGCAGGGTTCACCTGCTTTACAGGTGATGCAGTGGAGCCTCCAAAGGGTGTTTCAGATTGGTGAGCATTTGATTCTGGATTTCCTCCCTTCTCTCACCGCTGCCCTGACCCCAGCCCTGCCTGTATGAGACAATGTCACAAAGGTTATCTTGCTTTTGGAATCATACACAAGGAATAGCACTAATGGCGGGGCTTTCTGGCATCAAATTTACTTATGTTGGGAAGGAAAATTTTTCTTCCACACTTCAAGGTCCTTCTAGCTGGTCTAAGAATAAAATTGACATGAGACAGATTAACAGGAGAAACTCAAACTTAATCACTTACATATGGGGAATCCACACAAACAAGAGATTCCAGAGACAATCAGGGCAAATGAGGTATATATGTCATCCCGAATTAAGGAGAAGGGGACAGGGGTCTAGGACTTCCAAGAGAGGAAAGGCAATTCTCAGAGTACATGTTAGATGCATAAATGTTTGATAAACAAATGCTTGCTGGGCCACACAGAAACAATGGGACATAGAGAGGGATTTTAACACACTGGATTTTGCTAAATTTCTCCCTATCATTGCTAGTTCGTATTATAATGCAGTTTTCTATGGTGATAGCTATCTTCCTGGAACAGGACCTCTGTCTAAATTCTTTTAGGCAGGTAGGGGGAAGGTCAAATTTCTTTCTGAGTCTTTCAAGCCTTGATAGCTTTCATCTCGAAATAATCTGCATTATCATAGTGGCACATTTCAGGGCAGCCTGCCTGTGGCCCCTACCTACACTTATATTTGCACTACACTCCCCAGTTTGCAAGTAAGATACTGGAGTATTATCTTGTTGGATGCTAAAGTACCCCTCAGAGGTGGGCATTGATGTAATCCACATTCTACAAGGATACCAAACTCTAAGTTCATTTGCCAACAGTCACATGGCCAGTAAGTGGTACAGCCAAGTCCAGGCAAGATGCTGAGATCATAAGACACGCCGTCCTCCTGCTTGACTCTTTCTGAGCCTATTTCTCAGAGCTGTAGCTCCATCTAGTGGTCTATATTGGTATTATGTTCCCATTCATGCTCACCTGAGAAAGCTTTCTGCCAAAAGGGAAGAGACAAGCGTTAACAGCAGCAAGAACTCTGCTTAGACAGGAGTAGTTATTTTAAAAAAAGAGAGAGAGAAGATATTTTACTCCTAAAATAGATTGGCAGCTAGGAGGAGGCAATACATCACCTCCCAGCTCTCAGGCTCAAAGAATAGCTGCAGGAAGCAATAGTTCTGCTGTGAGTGTCTTCATCAGAATCCTAATTAAGCACCTACTATGTGCCAGGCCTGTGCCAGGAGACCAGGATACACTGTCCCACTGCTCTGACCAAGCCATCTGAGTGATTCTCATGAGAGTTTTTTAAACCATGTGTGTCCTGAAGAAACTTTATCTGTTAAGGAGCAAATAGTAAATATCTGTTACATATTCTTTTAATATATGTAACCTTTAAAGATAGAAAAACCATTCTTAGATTTGAGGTCATACAAAAACAGACTACGCCAGATTTGGGCCATGGGCCATAGCTGACTGACCTAGCTAGACTGTCTCAGCCAGAAGTTGATGTTGGGTCTAGAAATGGTTCAGCAGAGAACAGTGGAACAGTGGTTCATCTCCAGGCATGGGAAGAAGTTGGGATCTAGTATAAAAAGGGTGTTGCATAATCAAGAAATTGTCTTGTCTTTTTCCCCAGTCCCCGGGAGGAAGCTTCTAAAGCCTTGGAGGTTCCCAAATGCTACGAATATCTTGCTATTCATGGTGGGTCCCCCAGACCACGCCTGAGTTTATACAAATGAGGTGACCCACAGTGTGCCCCTAGATAGTTTTAGATGGAATGGTTGACCATACCAGAAAGAACAGCTGTGTGATTAGAGGGTTGGGGCTTTGAGTCATGGGATATCAGTCTGTCCTCCTGAGGGTCAGGGAGAGAAGAGGGACTAGAGATGGAGTTCAGTCAAGGGTCAGTGCTTCAATCAATCATGCCTACATAATGAAGCCCTAATAAAAACCCTGACTCCCTGAAGCTTCAGGGAGCTTCCCTGGTTGGTAATCATACACTCACATGCCAGAGGACATGGACACCACGTTTGGGACCCTCCCAGACCTCATCCTATATAATGAAATTTGGATAGTCTTGACTTATACCCTTTATAATAAAACTTTAAGCATAAGTACCACACTTTCCCAAGTTCTGGGAGTTGTTCTAGCAAATTACTGAAACTGAGGGGTTATGGAAACCCCCAAATTATGGCAAATCAAAAATATAGGTGACTTCTGGGGGCCCCTGTACTTGTGACTGACATCTTGAGGGCATTCTTGTTGGGGACAATGTCTTTAATCTGTGACATTTGACCTATACTAGGTAGCTAGCATCACAATTGCATTTCCAGGAGAAAGCTAGAATCCTGGCAAAGGACCCTGTTGTTCCAACACCACAGCTGAGTCTCTGTCAAGGCAAGTCATTCAGAAAGGTGGAAGGCATATA